TTTGATTTCAAAATATTTCGGATGAGCTGTACACGAGGACGCCACAGTTTGAATTGGGGGATACATTTTGAGTCGGTGCGTTTGCATTTTGCTAAATGAGTATCTTTGAGCCTAAGAATTTATATCGGAAATTTTTGTGTTAGAATTGGAAAAAAGAAATCATGGATCCTACTATTTCTCAATACATATCTCCAACTTTAATTGATTCCTTTTAAAACGATGATGATGTAAGATTTCGCATAATTGTCCAACAAAATGAAAGGAATCCTTTTCAAATGGTAAAATGGTCAATATTTGTCTTTAATATCTCGAACACAACTTCTGAAATTATTTTGCCACACTCTACCAGCACACCAGTTCACCATTACTCCCCCCCACCCACCCACATTTGGTCCAAGTACAACAAATTGTAGCATGACCCTTATGTCTTGCTGACGTAGTGCAGTCAAAAAGGTTTTTCACAATTCCCAAACGGACTCCAAGCAAATACCCGCAAACAAGTCCTTCTATTCTAAGATCGCTCTGTGATTCTTCAGGCCCAAAATGTGTGAAGCAATTTATCAGCGAACTGATTGGTAAAGGGTCAGTCAAACTGTGCGTGCGCGAGATAAGATTTGAAGGTAAGTGCGAGAAGGCGACGGAGGTAATGGCAGCTTTGTCAGGCACACTGTCCCCCCGTTGGGGGGGGGGGGGGGGGGTCAGAGAAAGTGAGAATTTGCAATTGGGAGATAAAACAGCGAGTGTATTTGCTTGAGCAGCTTTGGGGGCAGTGGGCTGGGGGGTGGGGGTGACACATGTCAAAGGTTCATTCTAAGAGGAAAAAAAAAGGGATTTTTAGATTTTGGCCATCACTCATTCAAATCCAGTGTGAATTGGTATCACAATTGTCGTTCCTTATGCCAAAAAAAGTCAAACAAGAGTTCCCATATGTTGTAATCTCTGGAGAATGACTGACAGTTATATTTGGAAACAAAAAAAAGTGGATTAATTTGAGTGAGACTTGCATTTTTAAAATCATTTCTTTGGAAGTCGTTTTCAAGTCATAAGTGCTGATTTTCCTTTCTCCTCTCATCCAAAGTGGAGCTTTTGTCACGAGCATACAGTAATTTTGTTGATTAGTAAGTAGAGTCGTCTGGAAATTAGCGTTCTCAGTGATACATCTGCATTTCATTAAAATCATTTTCAAAATTAGAACTATGAAAAAAAAAACAAAAAAACCCCCCAAAAAACCCATTTATTTATATAAAACAAATTGCGTAATAATTCCTAGGTCAGGTGGGGTATGCCCCGACCCCGTTTGTTGTTCCTATAGCAACGAGATAACTCTTGCTAATCTTCCTGTATCTGACTTAGCACTGATAAGTCGCATGAGATGAGTATACATTAGTGAAACATACAATCCCCAGCACTCAATCCGACCTCACACATCACACCTCACGCGCTCACCCATCAGCACAATACACAAACATACAAATACCTTCGCGTCGGGGGGGGGAAGATAAACCACATCCACCATTCAGTTTGCATTTCCATACCACAGCGATGGAAAAAACACAAAACCGTCAAAAAGAGAATGACGGACACTACAAGATATTTGATTTTACAAATTTGCCTTGACCTGCAGGCAAAACAGTTGTCATCGTACGGTAAATTAGGGCTTATACTTTGAGCTTTGTCATATAATGCGTCATCATTTTTAGCTAATGAGATGGAAATGGTACATTTGGTTTTCTTTCATTTCTAGGCTTCAAAAATGCTATTTTTGGTGTCAAAGGATTTCCAAATTGACACAGTTGAACCAGTTTTGAAACAGTTTGCTTCACAGCAATGACATTCCGCCACGTTCTCAACTTCCTCCAGTACCTCAATAGCTCCCATTCAATTCTCACATTTATTTGAAGGATCTGACTTGCTTTTCATCCTGCAAAAAAAAAAAAAAAAGGTATAAGCTCTAATGTTTGGCAGCGCTTCCTCACTGCCTGATGTATGGATGCCCAAAACAAAGACGCCTTTGTGGAGAGGGCTCAGGTGGAGGCTCCGGCTACCGAAATTATTGCTGCAGGATTTATTTGAAATAAGTCTGTGCGCTATGCCGGTGATGTATTTTTAAAAAAGATTCGTTGCCCAATCTTGATATTTTGGACAATCCATTGCCTCTTTCTAGGTTTGTCGTTTCTCTTCGCCGAATTTGGCAATTTGAGTGAACTTTTGTGTGTCCGTCAAAGTTTTTCGTCCACTACGGCGGCGCCAGATTGGACAAAAGTGTTTGATGTGAAGGGAAGAGACCACATTTGCGCTGAGGACCGGAGCATAGCTTTGTGAAATCCTGATCTTGCAATCGCCTGCAGTTGGACTGAATTCCATTTCTGTTTTCGGTGTCTGCGTGAAGGATGAGTAGCAAGAAGGTCATGAATCTCATTGTGCCCAACTCCACACTGTTCCTGCCACCCTCGTTTAAAAATGCCACGTCCACACAAATGAACGATAATTCACTCTTTCATTAACATTCACAAAAAAATGTGTCCTACAGTGACCATTTTTTTGTTTCTACTCTCAAACTGTGCTCACATGATGAGAAGAAATCATTATTTGCCATTCTTAGAATCCCAAATCATTACCAGGCCGAATTCCTCTCTTCTCTCCGCTGTGCAAGACCACATTTGGCATTTTTTTTTTGTTGTTTTTTTGTAAGATTGCAAAAATGGTCAAAGATGTCACCCAATACAGTGCCAAGCTCTTCAAGCTGGCAACACTGAAGAAAAGTTGCTGCTTTTGTTTCTATACCGCAAGGTAGCCAAAAGTACCTTTCAACGTTCTGTGAAAAATCGACTACCAAATAAAAACTGAGCCCTTTTTGGATCCTGACACCAAGTTTTGGAAAGTTTGGAAGCAGCCTGCCAAATTCTCGTGAGAAACACTCTCTTTCGATATCGTGTACTTTTGCAACACTTGGTTTGTGATTCTGCTTTTTTCCTGAGTTCCAATCTCATCGTGCTGACTTCTCGCTCGTCCGTGCCCCCCCCCCCCCCCCCCCCCCCCCCCCCCCCCCCCATCCCCGACCACTCCGTTCCCCCGCTCGCTGGTGTTGTTGTTTCAATCCCCAGTAGGATTCATTCGGAGCATAATTCAAAGTCCATTTATTTTTCTTTGAGCGTATGGAAAGGCCTCGGTGACACGGCTCCCCCGGTGTTGATAATTTTGCGCCTTTCAATTTGCGCTCGCCCTCCCCTTGACAGGCGCGGTACGTGATGTATCGTCCCGCGCCGTCTTATCTGTTGATGTAGAGTTTTAACCTTTTTCCCCCACTCCACCCCCCCGCACCTTGGGCCTTACGTACAGCACAGCAGCTGAATAAAATAAGAAACGTAACCCCTTTACAAAAGTCATCTCTTGTAAATGTTTACGTTACGTCTCCATAACATTTCCATATTAAGACCCCGGCGGACGGCAACGCGTCCGCCGCGGAATCGGCGGGGCTACTTGGTCCGCGCCGCTGAGAGGCTGAGGTATGCGTGTGACATTGCGGTGAACTTGCGGCGTGTGCATCTGCGGGCTTTCTCCGGGGCCTGCTCGCCCATAGATACAGCGCCATAAATCAGCCGCAGTAAAAAGTTTAGAATGCGGGGATGGGGCGCAGGACAGGAGCGCGCACTGCTGTTTTGGGCCTCTCGGGGAAATGGGAACGCCGCCGCGTGCTTATGCCCTGACGTTTTTTTTTTATGCGTCCGTAAGGAGAATACGGCTCAAGGCCTCGTCGAAATGGCACCAGACTGTACACAGATACACAAGCTGTCACATGTGCTCGAACAGCAGGCTGTTTTTTTTTTTTTTTTAAATATACGCTATTAAAATATGATGTTGAAGTTGTAAAGGTCAACCACGTAGGTGTCTTCTGAGGGCTTGTAAATCATAATCATAGAAAAGATTCCCAAAGTTGATATTAAAACCACACCGTAGGGAGCGGGTTCGGGAGGCTGTATTTCAACATGAATTTGGCCCCGGATGAAGTTTTTATGTACTTTACCTCGCCGCTGAACTCGCGCAGCGCCATGTGGCCCTTTTTTGCCCGCTTCCTGTCCGGGTCCCTGCGGCGGGGGGGCTCGCAACGGTGTTAACTGTCGACGGCGTCTGGGACGGCCGCGCTGTCAGCGCGGCCTGAGGACTCCCGCTTTTTCGCGCGGGGACGGCGAAGGAAGCTTGCTCGCGGTTCACAGTTCAACTGTGACATGTCTTCATGCGTGGGCGGCCGGCGTTCAAAGAAAATGAGAGGCAGACAGTCCACCGGTGATTCTTCGGGGTGCGATAAAGCGCTTGAAAGATGGTTTCTAGCGGTCCTTTTTCGGGTCGTCCTAGACGTACCCGGTGAAGAGCTTCTCCGACCCTCAGCGGGAGCGGCGACGGAGCCCGAGAAATCGCAGCGAAGATGTGAGCGCGACAGCGGAATATCAAAAGATAGAAGTCGTCCGTGTTGAAATGGTCTGAATCTGATTTCTCAGCTGCTTGGAAACTCATTATTCACACCTCTTGGGAACCGGCATAGCTCACCAAGTCATTTTTTTTTGTCTTTCAAAGCTAATGCGAATGAAACAGCTGGATTCTGTTGGACTGGCGAGCATTAACCGCCACATGCGGCATTTAAGTCTGAGGCTTTGCGCTGAACTCTGCGTGCTCTGCGATATAGCAAAGGCTTCCGATGACAGGTTCCGGAGCCCTTGGCAGAGCTTTGTTATTTCGCATATTATTGTTATTTCCCTGCCATTGTCATGTGATGAAGTGTCTATCACCCCGTTCGAGAGATCTTGCCAGACAACGGGATTTTTTTGCTTTGAGTTTTCTGGACGGCGATCAAAGACTCTGTGACCTTATTTTTGACGGATCTGAGTCGCTTTTTTATCTCTTTGGACGTAATTATGTTTTGTGTCATAATTCTCTAATTTCCTCTTTTATGTCCTTTTGCTACTAAGCATATGTTCTCCCCTATTTTTCTTTGTCTCCCACAGATTTGGACCGGGACTTGTTATCTACTGGTACGGTTTCATAGGTGAGCTGGACTGCCAGAGGGACCGAGGCATCCTTCTCAAAGACTGCTTCCCGACGGACATCGTCGTCCTCGGACGGGCCGCCCAGCAGGACTGACGAGCCAGTCGCGGGCAAAAGAGCGAGGACATAAATTTGGGTGGCGACGTTGGAAGGAACGATTGTCGAGGATGGCGGCGCAGGAAGGGTAGGAACAGAAACGCCGGGGGTAGACGCCGAAATCCGGAAGTCATTTAGCTTTCCTGCTTGGGAGTCGAAAACCTCTGCTGCCCTGAACTCCGCTTGACCCTCACTCTCCGTCTGCCGCGACTTTCCTGGCTGCTTGGCTTTTGCTACAAAGTACAAATAAGCCCCCAAAAACTCCACATTGAAGAGGTTCCCCGGTTCCTGGTCAACTCGTGGCCCCCGGTTGGCCTCTCTCAAAGGATGGCGTGGTGTGATGGAGCACCAGAGCTCGGACACGAGGCCTTTCCTTATCACAGCCCAGAGTCCTGGCCTTTGTCACACCTTCCTCTTCCGTTCCGTAAGCAGATAAGGGAGGTGCGGTTCTTGGGGGGGCGGGGGGGCGCTGGTTGGACGCCTGGCTCTCACCTGCGTCACTCAGTGCCCTCTCCAAGCGGGAGAGCAGAATGGTGGCTGATTAAGGCCACGGCCTCGCTGTGACCCTTTTTCTTCCCTGTTATCAAGTTCCTCGCGAGATTTCGATGAATTCATCTCCTGGACTGTTTCGACGTCTGATTTATGAATTGGATATGCTTTCGTGTTCCACATCTGTGTTGCGATGCGTCTTAGAATTTGAGCAGCTTATTAAAATGTCTTTCATTTCCACAATTGCTGGTTTTGCGCGACTGCAATTCCAGAACCGAAAGACTTTCAGTGACCCAAAGGAAAAGTAATGGAAAACATTTTCATATTCGAACCAATGGATGTTTGTCATTTTCTGCTTAGCGGAGAAACCAAATCATCACCGAGTGTCTTTCAAAAAATGGCTTCAACAGAGCATTTAAGGGGCAGATGTTGGCTAACGTTCAGCACGCCAGATATCCTGAAATTGCCCAAAGGAGGAAGAAAAGGTCTGTCGACTTTTTGATGAGGTTCCTTTTTGCTTCTGTGTGAGCGTTCACAGGTACACGGGAACACCTGAACTTTATGGGAATTTCGGCGACCGTTTGACAGCGCATCTTTACGACTCCAAATTTTTTTTACGAGCCGCTGCTAATGACAGAAACACAAGTGGAGCCCTGTAAAATTGAAAAAGATGACCATAAAGTTGACTCTAGACACAGATGTATGCATTGCCAATAGCCCCTACACTAAAACACAAAGTCAAAGCATGGAATAGAATAACAAATTCGGGTATTCGAGTTATCGTACATACTCTATGTACTATGGCGATGCCCAGCAATTGACTGACAACCAGTCCAGTCTCTCATCCAAAGTCAACTGGGATAGGCTCCGGCTCAATACACAATTTCCTGTTAATAAAAAAAAAAAGTGTTACGTGTACAGTGGATCTAATCCACACCCCTGTGCTAATCATGATGATTGTGATGTTAAAAAAAGACACAATTTAATCGATTTAAAACTTTTGCCACACGTGCGCGATGCCCAGCAATTGACTGACAACCAGTCCAGTCTCTCATCCAAAGTGAACTGGGATAGGCTCCGGCTCATTACACAATTTGCTGTGTAAAATGTGTGCTAATCATGATGATTGTGGTGTTAAAAAAAGACAATTTAATCGATTTAAAACTTCCCACACGTGCATTGTATAACCTGTAAAAATGAAAATAAACGACTGAAGTGGTTGCACAAGTATGCACACCCTTTACAGTAACCTGGCTGTGGCTCTATACATAGTTAAGCACTACGTTCGAACCCATGTTAAATGAGAATCCGCACTCACCTGCCACCATTTAACTTGTTTAACTCCAAATAAATTTCAGATGTTCCAGTTGCATTTTCATGACATATTTTTATCCCTTTTTTTTCCCCCACAAGTTTTGTCCAATTTCCAACCATATATAATTCACTTCACTTGACTCAGCGTTTGAGAAACAGCCCAAAAGCATGACGCTGCCACCACCTTTTCCCCCTGTAGACTATTTTGACTTCCCCTCTTCAAAAGATAGAGGAAAAAGTTGAAATGATATTTGGTATAAATAACAAACACCTCGTAATTAAACAAAAGGGATGTGTCGAATTTTGCATATTGACTCTAAGCACATGTCTCCGTTTTGATCGAATTTGGAAATACTGTACGCTTCCAAACTGAAAGAGTAACGTCACCATGTTCCGGATGTAAAAAGATCGGCTCCTTAAGACTTGTACACCCCCCCACCCCACTCTTGTCCTTAATCTATTTCACTTCCAAAACGGAAGCCGTCTCCGTCGCAGAGAATAAAAATAAGCATTTCTATATTTGTTCTATGCACTCGCGCGGTCCAAAAAGACCCGCTATGCACGCTTGAATGCCGGCGAGGTGTTGCTTGATTTGTTACCCTTAAACCTCTAACCCTTAGCCGGCTCCCATCCAGGCCTTGATCCCTCCACCAGGAGGCCAGCGGGTCACTGCTGGGTCAGCAGGCGGCCGTGGCTTCCCCGCCTCCCCTCGCCCGCTCCCTCACCTCCTCCTCAACAAAACAACTGTCCCCATGTGTCTAGTTAAACTCAACCCTATTGCCTGCCTATGGAATGCTTAGGCATCACTTTATGGCTCCTGTTGGACACAAAAACAGGGCTATTTTACTCGCCGGGGGAAAATTCTCAGCTGAATAAGAGCAGAAAGAGAAAGAGGAAAAAAAAAAACAGCAGAATCAGTTCCTCTCAAGTTTCGAGCCTTCCTGCCATTGTTTTCCAAGATGGCTGTGGCACAAAAGAGGAGTCAGGGTCAGCCCCTATAAATTAGCTTTGTGCACACAATGCCGGCTAAATTGTGCCTCTCCAAAGCCTACTTCAAAGTCATGGCAGCTGGACGGACTCCACCACGTGAGAGCAAATACAGAACAAAAATATTGGTGCAGACTAATCATTTGTCATAGAAACAAGGGCACTTTGTTGACATCCACTTTAGGCTTGAAAGTTTGAAGTGACGCTAATGAATAGCAAAGTATTCAAATGAGACTTTGCCGGACGAATGGTGTCATTTTGTATTTAGTGTGTAACATTAAAATTATATTTCAACATTTTTGATGCTGTACTGTAACTAGAACAGTATCAAAAATAACTAGCAGTTTGTTGGCTCTCAGTATACACGAAGCCGTGTCACATTTATGGAGCTAGCTATCTATTTAGCTAGCGCCTAGCTATCCATTGTGTAGGACTTTTTTGTTTTCATTCACAAGTATCAACTTTTTTTCCTCCGTCAAATTCTATGTAAGCTCTCACTAGACCCTAATTTTACCATGACTTGAAAACGAAAGTAATGACCTCACCCTAAATGGCTTCATATTTTGACCATAAAACATTTCTGCCATGATTTACTTTTCACGTCCACCACGTTTGGAAAGCGGTTCGCAAGAGCACTTTAATGTCTTATACAGCAGCCGTATTCCAGCAAAATTGAGCGTAATGTAACGCTTAATATTTAGTCAAGTTTCCTACTAAAATTCTCTGGAGACCGGATGGCTTTGTTCCAGTATCCACCGCGGAGCCGCTCAGATGTCCATCTTGGGTTTGTGTTCTGTTGTTTTTTTTATGTGTCCTTCGAGCAAACGTCTGAATGGCCCTTCGAGATTCAGACAGACTGAGGCAAAGGTTTCATTCCTGCAGCAGACTACCACACAGACTTCCTCCACGCTTCTGTTATTTATGTGCAGAGAACGCCACTCTGTTTTTGCCCCGGGCAGCTATGGAGCTTTTAGTCGGTGATCCTCTCTGGCCAGGAAGATATCACAGGGTGGAAATAAATAAAAGTTTTCTTGGAAAAGCCAGCGGAACTGTTTTAAAACATGAAAAAAAAATGGGAGAGGGGGGAGGGGGAAGCTGGATCAAGGGTGGAAAAAAACAGACTCTCAGCAGATATGACGAGAGAGCTCATTTTTATTTTTAGGAAGCTGTGCCTGCTAATCAGATGTTATTTAAAACAACAATGGAGCATGAGAACATGAACCGAGGGATTGAGAGAGGCCGCGTTTGACTGACAGGAAGGAGGCATGATGGCATGTTTGACGGGGAAATGAACGACAATGACGCGGGGATGCGGGTCAGCCTTGAAGGCTTGTCCACTTCTGTGGAAGCACATAACAATGTAGTCGCGAATAATATGTCATATTCCAAGTTACGTTCAAGATGAACTATTTTCAAACGACATGAAGGTCAGCTAGCCCATGACACAAAGATGACGGACATGTTGCGCTAATAACGCGACAGGGCCGTTGCTCGGCCATTTGAGTCTCCAGGAAGTAAAATAACGACAAAACGAACCGTAAAAATACTCTAACAATTATGATGAGTATTGTTTGTTTGTTTCTTTATTTATTTTCCACACTTTTGTTACTCCTTGCCACAGCTACTGTTCACCTTCACATAACCGTGTAAACACATCCGATAAAAGACATATGGTTCGCAAGAAGTTTCACCATTCAAATTCTTGGCAGGCCACGGGAAGGCCAAAAATAAGTTAACTGATTTATTTTTCGATGATAATTCAATTATGACTAGTGCACGGGTTAAATTCTCCTCTCAATCCTATTTTTTTTCTGTTGAATTACTATAATGTGTGTACTCTCAACATGCTACTTAGTGTTTGCTAATTTGTACAATTGTACACTAAAAAACTCACTTTTATTTCACACCACAATTTGTATTTTTTTTTTTAAAAAAAGCAAAACACACTCGTCCTTTTATTCTCGCTGACCAAAATGCTGGGGTGACATTATAGGTGCTCATTTTTGGTGCGGTATGGAAGCATGAAAAATGTTGCAGAAAACAGCGCTCGGAGTCTTGTGCCGGCATGAACAACAGGGGTGACAGTCTGTATGAAGGCAGCATGTTCTAGCGCAGACCACTGGAAAGGTCACCGAAATCCCCTGCTTCGCAATCCCGCTTTGTGTGGCATTTGGTCGGTGACGGGAGCGACCAAGAAAGAGTGTCATCTCCTGATCACAGCGAGGGACCAAAGGGAGGAAACAGGAACTCCGGTAGCTTCCACAGGTAATGGCAATTTTGGCAGTTACCTGAAACAGGAATTGGCAATATACTCCAGAAATGTGTGCGTAACCACCAGAGAGGCGTAACTCGTTGAAGTTGGAGGCTAGCTGTAAATCACGTCGCGTGGAGTTTTCTTGAGACTTGTGAATGTGAGCAAAATCCATTGGGAAAATGCTAACATTTTGCTCAAAAGGAAATAATAGCCGTTAGCTGTTATGCTAACTGGTCGAGCACAAACCTAGCTCCTTAGTAAAGAAAAACTCAATCAATTTATGTCTCAAAACAACTAATCCACCCAACAAGGGAACGTTTGTTTTGTACATAGATTTCAAATTTTATGGGAGGGAACAGAACATCTCTCCATTTCTGTAATGACCTATGTTACTGGGAAATACAGTTTGGTTTAAGATTGAAAAAATGTGAAGAAACTGACCTGGTGCGTGTTTGTCATGTCATGTGACCCATTTGTCTTTTTTTCATTCGTTTTCATTGCCCCCAAAACACTTTGCAGCCGCATCGTCCTTGACTTGCTGCCAGGAGGTAAATATACCCCTTCGTGTCCAAACACGGCGTCAACTGCTAGTGACTTATCGGACTTCAGCCCTCGAGGGATAAATTTGGTTTCAATTTTAGAGGCTTGATGATGTCATGTCGCAACGCACTGCTGGTTACGACGTCGGCAACCTTGATCGTTCCAAATTCTGTCGATTGTGTGAATGATGGTCGATTAGTCGCATCTGGAAGCAATGACGCAAAATGGAACGCTCT